GCATGCATTTTTCTTTGATAGCAGATCAGGGCGCAGCAGTCAGAGGCCAGTGTTGAGATTGGCGAATCGACCGTGCACGGCTGATGTTTCTAGCCGATGACGTTATGAACATTAATTGGATGTGGAATGCCATAAGCATTTCAGGAAATTTGTTTGATTATTCTTTTTCCGTGATTTTTTTTCTGCAATATTTCTAACCAATGAATTAAGTGGAGTGTTTCAAATGAGTGGCTGTTGCTTGAGGTTAGCACCTGTCTGCACAAGATGACTGTTTTAAGTGCTTGAATTGTTTGAACTTTTAATCATTGCTCAAAGGTGTTTGATATCGCTTATTGTTTATGATATTTGTTTGTTGAAAGTGGAGCGTAAGCGATATGCTCGGTGACGTAAGCTGCAATTGCTTGACATGTGTTCTCGTGTGTGGATCTTAGCTCCACATCGCATTGTCTGTTATTAGTGCAACGCTGACTGACTTGGAAAGAATATTGCAGTTGTTTTCAATGGCATATAAGCGTGTTTAGCAGATTTCACCGTGCTCGTTGAGTTGGCTGATTTCAATTTCAGTTTTAATATTCGATGAATCTGTTTCAGAATGATGAACGTTTGTACAGTTTGCGATGAGACCTACTCATCAATATGGGTGAGTATTTTATTCTGTAGTCATCGCAAAGTGAGTATGCCTTTCTGCTCCGAATGTGCATCTATGAATTACAGGAGCAACCTTTCAACGAGTTATTTCGAACATTACATCAAATCGAGTCTTTATTGCCACTTAAACCCCCCCCCCCCAAAAAAAAAGTGATATTGTCTCAAAATTTGTTCTCTCACTGATTGAGTAGGGAATGCTACGAATCTTGAGAAGTTGTTGAGGTGATGAAGTAAATTTGAAGTATTCAAAATTGCAGGCAAAACGTGAGCACGATGTATCAATGCTTCACCATGTTCGCCTGGAACAAGCTGGTGACGACTGCGAGCATGTCTGTCGAATATGCAAATTTATTTGCAAGGAGTTATCTGAATATTCAAAGGTTGTTGATTTTCTAATTCATTTGGGTCTTTTGTCGGCATGGCTGATTCAGTTCTGATCACTCCCTATCGTTATTGTTGATCACCTGATGTGTTCGCTTTAGATAATTTTTATCTGTAAACCTTCAAATGCTTGCTCGGTAACAAAAAGTTTACTTGGGCAATCTTCTGAATAAGAATAAATGCGATATTTACAGCATGTTGATACAACAACGCATAAAGAGAAACTGACACATGTTCGAATGCGACGTGCAGTTTTTGAAGATATCAGTGAAGATTCGACAATACCGCCATTTGAAGATATTGTAGCGGTCTGTTAGAACTATATTTATTTCTGTTTGCATTCGAAAATCTCAGTCTATATCCCACGATTAAGTCTTACTGAGGCTTATATGTTACCAACAAAAAGGCGAATCCATATCCGTTCAGAGTGGAACAATTCTATTACGATTTCAGTCTTGCCTTTTGAGAAATCTTGTGCTATGTCAAAGCTGAATGCATTATGTACTTATTATCAGGCGAATGAAATAGATTCTGTTCACGAAATAAGCATATTTCCCGCAATTCTAAGAAATATCTTTTTTTGGGAGGTGTCAAATCCCCAGCAGAAATCCGTCATCATAACAGAAATCACCAGGTTCAGTATCAACTTTGTAATGATCGCGTAATATTGTCACATTAAAAAGCGTATTTGCATCATCTGATGAACGTTTAACAATCACATTCAAAAGAAAGAAGTAGAAAAGATGAGGAAGTGAATGAGAAAAAAAGCGAAACGGTTAAAAAATTTGACTGATATAATTGGATGTCTTACGAAACGAATCTTGTTAGCATCGAAACAACGATGCAAATTAATGATGAAACAGTGGTAATGTTCCTAAGCAGCATGACTTTCTTCTTGGAGATTTCTTATTATTACGTTTATCAGTCACCTTTCTGCCCGTATTCTCGTCTGGCATTTGCTCAGTTGTTTTCTCATTTCCCTAATAGCGCATAAAATCATGCCAACATATTCCCCCTAAACTGTTGAATTATGTGTGCTTTTTTCTTTTCAGCTAAAAGCATTTCTCAATTTTGCTTCCTTTTTTCCAGATATCAATTTTTACATAAGCGCGATTCGATTGCCAAGAGTTTAAGAATGACTTTTGATCAACATTGCTCTGTGTTGTGTCAGTATAAATAGTTCTTCTTAGAGAGTTAAACTAGCGAAGTTTCGTATGCGGTTTTTTCATCGCCTTCAGTCACAACATTACTGTCTTTCTATCCATCCTGTGCAAATGTGCGCCGATGATACGATTGTTAGCTGTTGACACGAGTGATGCCCATTCTTAAATTGGAGTTTTTATCTTGGACGTTTCTTAGTACAAAATGAAGGCTGTTCCGAAATCGTGAAAAAGATTTTCGATTCGAAACTTTCGCATAGTAGGAAATTCACTATTTTGTTTCATTTAAATCAAAGTGACTGCTCGAAAGTGAAGAACTTACGATATGTGATCGAAGAACCGCTGCAAAGTCCTACCTCATCGCCTCATCGTGGCGCAGCGGTGACCCTGGCCGTCTGACAGCTATGGTAGTGGGGTGTGTGCTTCGATTGATTGATGATTCAAGAAGCGCGAAAACCCCGGCAGGTGTTACCATACTACAAAGGTGTCAGACTACCAACCCGGGCTTGAATTGGCTCTTTCATGAAGGTGATGAGAAGAGCTGTATTCGTTTATTACCCGAGGCTGGAGGCTAGCTAAGCAGAGGAGGCATCATTTCGAATTGAAATATTGGATGGCTAGCTGAAAGCCTGCGGGTGATTTCAATGAGATATGAAAGGTAATTTATGAAAGAGCTGAGTATATTTCAGTAGGTAGTACTTGAAGGAAGCATTAGTTTGATGAAGTAAAATGTTTGAAATTTTTGTGATTTTTGAAGGTATCGTTTTGAATTCGATTATGCAATTGAGCGTTGTTTTTTTGGCTGGTATGCTTTCTTCCGTT